GCAAAACACTAGTCACGGTGAGTTATTTAAATATACAACTCCTAATCGAACAATATGACCACAGTCCAGAATTCAGACGGATATTAAGCAACCTAAGAAGCATATCAGAAGCATTTACTCTAAAATATAAAAAAAGAACTGCAGTCAAAAGTCAAGAATGCCAGCAAATAAAGGACTGTCCCACAATCCTTTGTGCGCGTTATTACGGACACGCGCAAAAAACTGTACCACGCTTGTCAAATCTGGGTCAAATATACAGTACGCTACTATCTTGCCACATATTGTTTAGCAGTGGAGTGTTCGGTGACCATTGAATTAGCCCGTGATTCATATTTTATGTGTATTAATTTATTCATCAATTTTCGTGACTGACAGTGTTAGGGAGTTAGCCTTATGTAAGATATACCGCCCTCAGCGTCCATACTGATAACCCGTTTGTTTATACACTTAATGTATGCAGCCTCTTTCTGACCTCTCGGTGTAGAATATAAACATGGCGTCTTAGATATGTTGTCAGTGTACAGTCAAAAAAAACAAAAAAAAAAAAAACATCAGGTCAAACTGGATGAACAAAGCTCCTACCTGACAACGTTCTGGACACCTTTTGGCAGGTACAGATATGTACGCATGCCGTTTGGCATTTCATCAGCTTCGGAAGAATTCCAACGCCGCCTTCATGACGCATTGGATGATATTCCTGGTATTGAAGTCATTGCAGATGACATACTTGTGTTTGGATGTGGAGACACTCCTCAACAATACATGGAAGACCATGACAAAAAGCTAAGAAGTCTACTGCAGAGAGCGAGAGAGGTTAACTTGAAATTAAACAAAAAGAAGCTAAGATTATCGTTCAAAGAAGTACCATTTATGGGAGAGCTGATTACCACTGATGGACTCAGACCAGATCCTCAGAAAATACAGGCGATACAGAATATGCCCAGACCAGATGGCAAGAAAGCAGTACAACGTTTACTTGGATGCGTTAACTACTTAGCTAGATATTTACCCAAACTAGCAGAAATCAGCGAACCGTTAAGACGACTGAAAGAAGACAAAGCTGTATTTGTATGGGAATCTCAGCAAGAAGAATCGTTCAGTCAAATAAAGCATCTTATCACCCATGCACCAATTCTGAAATACTACGATGTAAATGATGAGGTAACCATACAATGCGATGCTTCGGAAAAAGGATTAGGTGCCACACTTCTTCAAAACGAACAACCTGTGACATTTGCGTCAAGATCGTTGTCTCCCACTGAGCAAAACTATGCCCAAATAGAGAAGGAATGTTTAGCAATCGTTTTCGCATGTGAACGATTTAATCAATACATACATGGACGAGAAGAAATCACCATAGATTCAGATCACAAACCGCTTGTACCTATCTTCAATAAACCGATACACCGAGCACCGAAACGCTTACAGCGCATGATGCTACGTCTTCAAAAGTACAACATCAAAGTACAATATAAACCCGGCAACCAGATGCACATTGCTGATATGCTCAGCAGAGCATACTTAACAGAGAAGAGTACTAGCTCCAACATGCCAGAATATCAGTTATTTCAGCTAAAAATAGAAGACAAGTTGTTTCAAGAAATAGAGTCCATTAACCAAGCTCAATACCAACACGTTAGTGATCCTACTCATCAGCAAATTCAAAAGCTAACACAAACAGATACAACTCTACAATCCTTAATGACAACAGTATTAGCTGGATGGCCAGACAACAGAGATGATGTTCCAATATGTGCAAGAGACTATTGGACATACAGAGAAGAAATCACAGTACACAATGGTGTTCTATAAAAAGGAAATCAAATCATAATTCCAAAACAATTGAGACCACAAATGCTCAATAGAATTCATTCAAGTCACTTAGGTGCTGAAGCATGTATACGGCGAGCACGCGACGTACTATTTTGGCCCGGAATGACAGCGGAAATAAAGGACAAAATCACACAATGTAGTCCTTGCAACGAATACCTCAGTAAACAACAAAAAGAACCTTTGATGTCATACGAGATTCCATCACGACCATGGAAAATGGTTGGACAAGATTTGTTTACATACAACAAAACTGACTACCTAATTACTGTTGATTACTATAGTGATTACTGGGAACTTGACAAATTAGATACAGATACAACTTCATCAACTATAGTTAACTGTACTAAATCACACTTTGCCAGACATGGCATTCCAGAGAATGTAATTTCAGACAACGGACCGCAATTCATATCCAATGAGTATGAAACCTTCGCACGCGAATGGGAATTCGAATATATAACCTGCTCACCGTACCACAGTCAAAGCAACGGGAAAGTCGAGTCAGCTGTCAAGATATCAAAAAAGATCATCAAGAAAACAAACAAAGACAAGAAAGACTTACAGCTAGCAATTTTTAGATTGGCGAAATACACCCAGCACTGATGGCAGCAGCCCCACTACAGAAATTAATGTCACGTAGAGCCCGCACACTATTACCAACTCCAGAAGTATTACTTCAACCCACAAGTTATCCAAGTGAAGCAGAAAACATCAAACTTAGAAAACAGAAGTCCAAATTTCATTATGACAAAAGTGCTAAAGAACTACCAGAGCTAAATATAGTCAACAAGTTAGATTGCGACCTACAAACCCCAGAGAACCATGGAGAAAGCCTCATGTGTCAACAAAGTGGGTCCACGTTCATATATATATTGCAAACAGAAGATGGAAGGATGTATAGACGGAATCGTAAATTCATACGTGAAATGGCAGAACTACCTAGTGAACCACCCACTAAGCAACCGTCTCAACTAGTAAGTCAGCCTGAATGCACTGCGTTACCAACACAACAGTCAACACCAGCAGTGAGTAATGATAAGCCAGATCATACATCTACACAACCAATTCCAGAGATTCCAGTGACAGAGATCTCACTGAGTCAAACGAACAAGATCAACTCGAACCAGAAGCAACATTAAACCGTCCGCCAAATACAGAGACATAATGACATGAACACTAAGTTTAGTATTTAGATTAGTGATTTAGTTATATACATAGTACTAGCATAGTACAATGATCGGACAATTATGCTGATATAACATTCGACATTTGATTCGTTGTTTTATACATATATGTTACTTGACCCTGTTCGATATTTGATTCGACATTTGATTCATTGTTTTATACATATATGTTACTTGACCCTGTTCGATAATTCATTCGTTATCTGAATCGTTCAAGTTCTTTGCATATGAGAAATGACTTTTAGCATCCTGATGCAGCATCAACATCGAGTGTGAACATTGAACTTTAGTCTTGATAAAAAAAGGGAGATGTTAGGGAGTTAGCCTAATGTAAGATATGGCGCCCTCAGCGTCCATACTGATAACCCGCTTGTTTATACACTTAATGTATGCAGCCTTTTTTCTGACCTCAGTGTGGAATATAAACATGGCGTCTTAGATATGCTGTCAGTGTTCAGTCACCAGTCTTGTCATTAATTATCTTCAATGAACAGAACCCATAACATGGTGTATTGGTAAGATTGATCTAAAAATTTGGGATGGCATCTTTCATTGGAATGTCACATAGGTACCTGAAGCACTGTTGCGGCATGAAAACCAGTGTCATAGTGAAGGTATTAAACAACATATGTAACTATATGATCATGTAACCTCGTGGGTCATAAACACATGGTTCATTTTTTAGCCAGATAAACATATCACAATCACCAATGTAGATAAATACATGAAACGAACTGCATTTTCATCGAATGATACTGGTTATATAAACTACCATATTGGCAATCAAGTGACCTCATTCATTATGACATAGATGTATGTTAGCTTGGACTTCGGTGTCGCCGCTTGCGGCTTTAATATGAAATGAATATATATTACCAGGGAGGATTGGCACGAGAGGGCGCCATCCGATCTGAATGGAACATTTCGAAGTCAGTCGTCCGTCGCCCACCGTCAACGCAACAACGTCCCTTTTATGAACATATTGAATAATTTCAGCAATTTCTTTAAAGAATAATTAGTAAAAACTTAGTAACATCTCGTAGAAAAATACAGGCTCTAAAATTATGTCTTAGAGCAATACAATTAAACCGACAGCCAGTTTGACGCCACAATTTTATGCTGAAGCCGAGTTCTACGCGTGATTTTATTGCGTTCAAAATTGTTTCATTTCAAACTGTGCATGCTCATACACTGTGGATTCTCGAAATACATACTAATTAAGTAACTTATCACTGACAAAAGTCACTGAAAAGTGTTGAGCAAATTTGAGCAATAGCACTAGAGTGAAATATATAAACGACCCTCTGCATTCTCCATGAATTTCGTAACTTGATATGATTATGGTAAAAAAAACCTGTGGTTACTTTCAACAGTTTGCTGGAGTCTGATCAAAAACGTGTCTCAAAAAACACCTTTACATCAGTTTTTCGATATATTTTAGAATCAGTCAATTTAGAACTATCATATATGCCATCGGAATGCATTTTGGCATAATTTTACTGAAAAGACGATTTTTTCATTGCTCATGAATATTAATTTATGCAAATTCGTGTCATGCACCTCCCCTTGTATATATATACCACTAAATATTGAATTTACTGGTACTTTATTGTGTGCATACTTATCATTTGTATTCTAAAAAATACAGAAGAAACCCCACCAACTCAGTAATATTAAAACACTATTATCCAATGGCACATTTCTGTTTATTTATATTATTTTGACTTCAATAAAGGACGTACATGGCCTGCGAAATAATATAATGTGGATTATATATTAATATTATTACTATTAGATAAAATTAAATCCACAATCCACTATTGATCCTTTTAATAATGGATTTGAGCAATGTTTATCATTGAATCTAAATTGGTTCTTGTCTGTTCTATTCTAACTAGTTGATATATTTTCAATATAAACAATCAATGTTGTTATAAAATAAATAATATAGATTTCAAGTAATTTTGTTTTGCGTATAAAAATATTTGTTTAACATTACACTATGCTAGCGCTACAGATTGCACTTAGTGTCAAAGGTCATCTTTCTCGGCTTCAGGATATGTTGTCATTTTCGCTATGTTTGGTTTGTCTTCTGTTTTATAAGATGGGTAAAGACCGGTTTTATGGATTCTTCGGTTAAGACCTTTGGAGTAACCGTCCCACAAATCGCCAGCTATGCCAACCAAATCACCCAATTCTAGCGGGATTTCGTCCTCGTTACGTGGTACGTGACGGTACAGAACTGTTTGGTCATGTGCATTCTGGCCACCAAAGTAGTACACATCGTCAAGCGAATGGAAGAAAGTGGAGGCATCTGGGAATCTCGTTTGCATTAGTTCATATGCTACCCTACACACCTGTAAATGTAGAACATACAATATATGTATTACGTATTTCATCATAATACCAATATATTTCTATTAGTCGGGCAATGTGAAGAAGAATGTATTTAGGCTCGGGTTATATTTGTAAGATTGGGATTCGATTAATACTGCATAACCTTGTATAAATATATTGTATACATATAGTGTATAATACATCATACCATAAAATAAAATAGATAGTAATATATTTCTTCAATTAAATCTGGTTTAACTTTCACAATAAATACTATATATGCTTGTGACAGTGTTATGTTTTTTTCAGTAAAATATATTTCAGTGGAAATCTACCTATTCAATTCACTGCCGTGAGTAAACTGAACACGGACGCAAAAAGAATTATTGCACGGGTTAATCTGAACATGACGTACATTTTTTAATATATTCATATTTCCTTTTCATCATTTTTCAGTGCCAGTCAGCCCATGTACATTATTATTATTATAAGCTAACAATGACTTTTTTGGGACTCACTAATTCGTTTGTTATAGTGAAGTGCTCACTTTAATGAAGCACATTTTGTATGGTTTGTATGGGTGACGTACATTGTGTTCATAATATAAAGAAAATCAGTGCAAAGTTGTATGTTATAATGACGTTACAGAGTACCTAAAAGCATGGGAGACACGCCTTATATATCTAATCTGGAAACCGATCATATAATCAGTATGACCAGCTATATAGAAAATAAGCAAACAAGCCAGACTGTGTTGGTAGAGTTGTATTTACTTTCTCAAAAAACACTTCCTAATCCTAATATATCAACATTATATCAAATGATTACGCGGCATGTTTTGATTGGCATTCATATAACTTAAACCACGCCTCATTGCTCATAGAACATCATGTGACACATTACTGAATTAATTGCATTCAATGAAGGAGATGTGACATCATTTTAGTATTCTAATGACAGGCATTTCGGTGCTTGTTTTGTGAGAGTTCAGTTAGTTATGGCGAAAATATTTCATATGTCGTCGTAATTTATAACCATGGTTTCATATACCCTAGAATGCAAATATTTTTCACGGATAAAATATAAAAACTCACCTGAGAAGAGAATGTGCAAACCAGGTAGTCAGATTCAGACAGGAAGTGGATGTCGGCAATAACACCTTTTAGAGACTCTTCAGATGATCTCTGATGCAGACTGGCTGACTTTGAAATGTCATTGTCACTCACAAAGACGTAATCAGGAAACCTACAGTAAAGTCATTGACAACGTTAGACGATTGGTTGACGATTAGTCAAAGACATTGAATTCTTGTCTTCCTAATAACCATATAACATTCAACAATTCTCCAGTTTTGTTAACCCGGGTTTTGACAAGAATTGTTTCAGGGGCTCGTTAGTTTCATTTTCTTAGCATTATACAAAAAACTTGATCGTCTATTATTCATCACCAAACAAAACTATAGCCTGATGATAATTTTTTTAATATAATTCATGCATGGATTTAATAACATGTTTCTCAGTACAGATACTTTTTTTTTATATTCAAAGTGTCACACTGCTATAGTATTAAACTGTTATGTTATCCTTACTTTTGCTGTGCTTCTGATAATAGATGAGGTTCATCTGTTGCCAAATAAACTCTTTTAATCGGCACATCCCTAATTCTTGATAATCGCTTGTAATACTCTTCCACGTGGACCATGTATTCATCTATTTTATGGAAAGCCGCTTCTGTACCAATTTTGTCAGTACGACGTACATGTACTCTGTAATACAAATCATGTATTCACCTGTGTTATGTAAAGCTGCTTTACAATGCAAAACCTTTGTACGCATACATATACGATGTAACAGGGCCATAATTCATGTATAATAAACTGCAGGTAGAATACGAACGTAGATACCGCATAAACGACATTCGAACTCATGACCACAGAAAGCGCTTTGCCACTCTACGTAGACGCGTGTCTCGCCACAGACACCAACCTAACAATCTTCTTCAATAACCGCGCCTTTACAGTGACAAGTACAGGCAGGAAGATTACAAACATATAAACACACATACACGAGATTCGATCTGGCGATCACATAAATTCATTTGATTTTTGTAAAACGACCTCAAGATACTTGCTATTGTGTTTACATAACGTACACAAAATGGACTGTATTTAACGTAAATAAACTGCCCGGATATAAGCTTGGGACATCAACCCCAATGAAACTTAACATGGAAATATTGTGTTCCTAATGGTATGGACAGGATGGACATGAATGATATAACGGTCAACTAATAGGCAAATAAGTCGGTGATGGTTCACTGCAGTTTTTGATATTTTAAAATGCCAATAAAATTAGGTTAGATACAAAAACTTCAGACAAACATTGGCACAATGAATCGGTGCATGCTTTCTTACAAACATAGTATTAAAGCTTAATTCGGAACCTTGCATTAGCATTCATACAGTGTGTCATGTAGGTATGTATGAATGAATCGTTTATGTATTCATCATTTTCAATTGACAGCAATTCCAAGCAACTACACCATAATCTAAAGCTAAAGAATGTATGACACACTGGCAAATAGCATGGTATAATAACTGAATAAACTATCCACTAAAACATGAATGAAATTAAGTACAGGCCTACTCTATACCTTTTATCAATATCAGGAGCAAGATTGTTGAGGTAATGAATGCATTGTACGATTTCCAAAACCCAGCTACCAACACATGGTCAATGGCCTGCTCCATTGCGTGGGCCTTGTGGTCGTACATCTTCGTACACAGGGTCTCACTGGTCCCTGAAATATCTTATGCAGACACGAGGTATAGATAAATCATACTTCATACCACAAACAACGTGAGCCTAGTGTAATTATAGACTTTTTTACCAGTCAGCAAGTGACTAGTATTAGGGGCTGACGTTAAATTACACAATTTTACCATATACGCTAAAGGGCCTTCATAAAATTAGAAATTGTATGTATTGTAACTGTATTATCAGCATATTTCTTTGACCATGCGACACAGATATGACCCTTATGGTATGCAAAACACAGAGAAACTACACTAAACTCACCCAACAATTGGTCTTTCAAAGTTCACTTTATTTTTAGTTTCATTCAGAAATGATTGTAAAAATGGCTGCGGTCTCGTAATATATTTTAAAAACTGAGCTATCCACCAGACTGCAGGCTGACCATGCAAAAGTAATAATCTCTTAGAAAGGTCTTCGGGTATTGCAAGAGGCAAATAGTTTGGTTTGGATTGCAGTAGATCAACCATGGGCAAATCAACAACTTGCACTTCTTTTATTCGTGTTTCTTCTGAGAATTCAAAGATAAATGCTATTATGGATAGTATATATTATAGTAGCCAAAACAGTAACTGTGTGATGTCACGTGTTAAGCCTAATTCAAATCAGGATTAAAGCCCACAGTCTCAACTGAATTTTGAATTGAATACCTTACTCACAAAATGACAAGCATGCCAACATTTTGTGCTCCGTCCATTAGTGTACGTTGACTATGTGGGACAATGTGGATAAAAATATAAAATTGGTGAACAAGTATGGGAGTCCTTGTTCAAGGTCCTAAAGGATACAGATTTATAAAAAAAATCTTCAACACAGTATTGTATATGGCTTCAGTATAACTTTCTGTTGACTGGAGTGATGATGATGGGCTCCATAACAATATCTTTCGTTGACACCTACCTGTCCACGATTTTCTACTTGTTCCTGTAGTGTCGGTACACTTGTTACTAAGGGGTTTGAAGAGTTTTTCCCATCCATCTTTAGAATATCCTGTACCTTTGTATTCTAGGATCAACGTCCTCTCTGAACCATATGCCATAATTAGACAGTATACAAGATGATGCAACCTACATCCATAGCCACATTGTTTATTTATATTACACACTAATTTCTTAGATGTTCTGCAGTCTCTTGGATTCTTTACAAGAAAGAGGAGAATACATTTTTGTTATGTGTCGTTTTTGTTTTCCAACAATGCCATATCATTT